ATTCGAAATCTTAAAAGGTCAAACTCATAGAAGTAGAGAGGACAGTGGTGGCTACCAGAGGCCGGGGGTGGCTGTGCGAGGAGGAGAGAAGGGGAGAGTTGGTGAGGGGGTGGTCAAGACGAAATTTCAGTTAAACAGGAGGAATTAGCTCAGGAAATTTACTGTACTGCTGTATAGGACTACAGTTAGAAACGAAGAATTGTATACTGGAAAATTGTTGAGAGATTGTAAGCGTTCTCAGCACACACAAAAATAAGTATGTGAGATAATCAATATTTTAGTTTGATTTCACCATTCCACAATGTATACATATATCAAAAAATCGTGCTGTACATCATAAATATGTAGAAATTTTATTTAATTAAAAATAAGAAACAGGTCTTAAATATATGTCCAAGAAATGAGAAGCGACGAGCAGGCCAAGCGGTTTCCGTAGTGTAGTGGTTATGACGCTCGCCTAACACGCGAGAGAACCGGTTCGAAACCGGGCAGAAACGGTTGTTTGCCTTCTGCCTCCTTCCAGGATCCGGAGGGGGTCGCCTCCCCACCGCGTGTTTCTAGGTGGCCAGAGCTCCAAGGGACAAGTGATAATCTGGCCTCTTGAAATATTTGTGTCAAATTAGGCAGGCCGTTCTGGCTGGGCGCTTCCCAACTAGGAAGTGCTCTCCCCCCCAAAATCTGAAACACGCAATTTTGGCGACACTCGAGATTTCTAGTCTGCACTTTTCCCTAGTTACCTTTTCTCCTTTCTCCCAAGAGAAACAGAAAGCCATAGCGCTCTTGCCCCGGCCTATTTATTAGTCCATGCTCCCTTATCGAGTCTTGGTTCCATGATAGAGGTTTGACATTCCCTGTGTTGTGGGAACACCCGAGTGGCGAATAATGAAGTGTGGACCGGCACATCTACTCCTGAATAAAATACATGAGGACACACACGCACACACACACACACACACACACGAATACCCAGCACATGAAGAACCAAGGAGTCCTTATCTTTTAGAGACACAAACTGAAATATATGCAGATGAATGTATGATACTGAGGTGTACTCAAAATAATCTAGGGGAAAGGCAGAAAGTGGGGAGAGGGTAAAATTAGATAAGATTGGCCATGTGTTGTTGATTGTTGTAGCTGGATTTATTGTGTACATTTTAAATTTTCCATAGGAATTAAAAAAAATTTTTTTAAAGAAGAAGGAGGAGGAGGAGGAGAAGAACTAGGAAACCCTAATCCCCTTGGGAAAAGACAATCAATGATGAAATGTTGGGATCATCTGACATATATACTCTAAACAGTTGAAATAATGCTCCAAGAAGTAAAGACAAACTCTCTCGAAATGAATAGAAAGATACGAAGTCTCAGCAAACAAATGGAAGATAAAAAGAAGACCAAGTTGTAATTTTACAAGTGATTATTGCATGAACCTAAAACCACAACAAACAAACAAAAAACCACTGGTTGGTCTCAATAACAGAATACACAGGACAGAAGGAGCCGGTGAACTTGAAGAAAAAAGCAATAGTAATGACCCAATCAGAACAACAGAAAATAAAAGTGTTTTTAAAAAGAAACAGTGGGGGCCATGGGCCTGGGTCCCGCCCACCACCCAGTGCAACCAGGCTTCCCTCCAAAGTTTCTCATAGTCAGTAGCTGAAGAGAGACCCCT